CATTATTGTAAACAATAAATGAAAGTCTATCCGATGTGTTTGTGATTTTTTTTTATTTTAGGCAGGAAATTAGTTTTCAAATTTTGATTTTTTTTCTGGGGGGGGGGGACACTCAGGCCCCCTGGAAGATTTGGTCCCCCCCCCCAATGTTGACTCCATGGCCTTGTAACAATCCACCCTGCACCAGCGTACAAGCCGATTTCATTTCTCCACTCCACAGTAGGACAAGCGCTCTCTCTCTGCTGCGTTCCTTCCTTGCTGCCACACTATCATTAGTCTTGACCACTGGCCATTATCCCTGCCAGTGACGTGTCCTGCACAAGCCGACTTACTCAACAGTCAATATGAGTGTCTCTCAGCTGTATGCGTTCTCTAATCCATGTGCTTCTCTTCCAGTCTCTTAATGCAATTCCAAGCTTGCATCTCTGCGTAATTTTCTGTTAACTTTTAAGATTTTCTTTGACATTTTCTTCATCAATGACCATGGTTCTGATCGCATGTCGCCGCAGGCAACATGTGTGTTGAACTTCTTTCGCACCGTATGTAGCCAACCGTACTAATCGGAGATGCGGGGGAAGTACAACAAACTAAAACACACAAAACAACATTTATAAAGAAATATGCACCGTTTGAAGCGCTGTGCACTTTAGGCATCTTTCCAGCAGCACTCCAACCCACTTGATCCACCCCTTTACCTCGTCTCAACTGACCTTATTGAAGCTTTTGTAGAGTTCGTGCGCGGACACGGTCAGGATTGAGTGTGGGGGTCACGCAAAGGTCAAGGGAGCACGCTCAAAGAAACCATTAAAGAAGGGAACTGGCATAAAAAGGTGCGAAAGGGGGGCTAGGGGGTTGGAGAAAACTCCAAAAAGATACGGCTTCTTCTTCTTGGTTCTTTCGGTAAAGTCACATAGAATGGAAATAATAAAATAATAAAAATAAAATATCATAAAATCATTCTCACGACGTTTCGGCCACAACGCAAGCAGCCGTCCTCAGGTGAAGAACAGGTCTGTCGAGAAGACAGAGTCTGAATGACTTCCAGAAAAAAAGATACAGCTTGGTGGAAAATGGGAGATGGTGAGAGAGGGGTTAGAAGGAGGTGGCGGAGAGAAGAGAGGGTACACAAAGAGGAGAGAGGGGTTAGAAGGAGGTGGAGATGAGAGAATGTGTATAAGGAGGGGGAGAAGAGAGAGGGGATATAAAAGAGGAGAGAGGGGGGGAGAGGGTTTTTAAAGAGATGTGAGACAAAGGCTCGGTGTAGCAGGGACGAAAAGGCTGGACGTCAACACCGCGTGTTCGTGCCCTGCAGGTGTTGGTGTTGATCGGTACGATAAAGTTCCCTTACCAGGACGACTCGCGTGGACTCCCTTTCACGTAGATGTATAAATGAGGCATGCGTTCAAGTGCCCCTCCACACAGCATGAATGGGGGTGTCAGTGTTTAGCGAGAGACGCTCGTGAAAAGTGACTGCGGAACAAGCATCGTGGTGTCAGTTTCCAGGGTCACTCTCTGAGATAATGCAATGCTCTGCTGACTTCAGACGTTCCAGAAGGATGTTTCGTCACCTCGTGACATGGCTGATAGCACGGTTGAAACGAAAACAGTGACACGAAACCTCAAAACCACTCGTACGTGAAGTACAAATCGCATCCTGGAAGCCGTAACAAATAAAACCAGGAAAACGCGTGCAGCAGGAAAACACCCTCCCGGCTGCAAGAGCAGCCGCTGCGTGGCCTAACGTTGCGAACTGATGTGATGAGATTGAATAGGAATGGTCAAATCGGGGGAATGGGGAGGGGGGGGGGAGAAATCAAACATCCGAGCGTGATGGGCGCACACAAACGCACGCACGAACGCACACACGAACGCGATAACGAACGCACACACGCACGGACGCACACACGAACACACGCACACACACACGCACACACGAACGAACGCACACACACACGCACACGCACGCACACACATCTCGGTGTGCTAGTCCACGCCTGGCCGCGCGTGAGTTGCCCGCACGGGGAGGCTTCCGTCACGCGCCCCGCGTCCCAGCCATCGGCCGTGGCCACGCTCGCCACACGCCTCTCTCGCTGTTGCACGCCATGCCTCTCCGCGCGTTGAATGCGACACGCGGGTATCCGCGCAATTTGCCACGATATCAACCCATAAGAATAGGGGTTCGCCCCCTTCTCGCAATAACAAAGGTGTTAAGATGCTCAAACGTCAAACGCAGATACCTCTTGCAAGGCGTCACGTGCGCATTCACCGCACGCGCTTGTGGCTAAACATTCAAACAAAACACGCTCTGATAGTATATATGGTATACTCTTGAGTTTTTTCGGTAAAGTCACGTAGGTAAAAAATAAAATTAAAAGTTGATAAAAGTAATAATGGAAATAAAATAAAATAATAAATCACGACGTTTCGGAAGCAACACAAGTCTCCGTCATCAGAAACGTCGTCATCAGAAACGTCGTGATTTATTATTTTATTTTATTTCCATTATTACTTTTATTAACTTTTAATTACATTTTTTACCTACGTGACTTTACCGAAAAAACCTAAGAGTATGAATCCTTGCAGTCACGAAAGCTTCAAATCTAAAAGTATATATGGTGTTGTCTTTGAAACTGATTGGCCTTCACCAAAGGCAGCCTTCTTTCTGACCTCGCCTCACCATGTCTAGACCCGGAGCACGTCTCGCTCTGGTTGAGCAGTTATATCCACGGGAACTTTTTGGCAGTATCAGAAATAAGAATTGCCCTTTGTGATACTTGCCATGTCTTTGTACGGTTCACCTTTTGGCCTAATAGCACGGGATATGAACCCAGGCACATCGGAGAGCTCTATCGGTTTTAAACAAATGTTTCACCAAAATGCCCTAATATTAAATTTAAAGTTGGTAATTTTTTTATTATTATTTAAAAAAGAACATCGCTTGTTGGAAGAAAGCAAAGTTATCGGAAACCCACGTTTACGAGTGTAGAAATCTCTTTCTGCATTGCCTCCTGCAGGCACCGAGCTACCCAGCAGATGGGAGCCTCAGGCAGGTTCCATCTCTACGTGATCCATCAACCCCCACCTCCAAGATGTTGGATTGTCGACACGCACCAACACACGCGATGGGTTCTGTAAGTTAAACAACTTTTTTTTATAACTTGTAAACTGTTAACCCTCCTTTTACTTGTATTATTGCAAGATCAGAGCATGTATATTTACAAAAAGCCCGAAAATCGGTTGGTGATTCAGAATGTAATATTGTATCTGCCTGTGAAAACTAATGGACTACAACAAATATTGTGCAGTAGACATATATACATATGTCTCGATGCTATCGTTAGTCGTGTGCCAATCCACTGCCTTGTCACAGTTTGTCCCCAAGGGCTCGTACCTGTTTCGGCGCGGAAAACCCAACGCACATTTATGCTCGCCATCAGTACGCCGGTAAAATGCAACGTTACGCGTTGCCACAACGCTGTGCTCAACTACTGCGGCACCGTCTGAGTTATTACGGCTGCAACTTGCTCTACAAAACTAAGTACACCTTCTAAGAAATGTTATAACGAACGTGCAGATGGGATTTGTTACGAAACGCAGTATTTCATCGTATTTCAATTGAACCAATTACGCAGGGAAAAAAATATTCACCCCCATCGGACATCAATTACAGTAGTTCATCATTAAGGCCACCCTAATTATAATATACCACAGCCATGTTCAGTCTAATTGGGTTCCGCTGCAAATAGACGTGTGTGTGTGTATAAATATCTCTGCGTCCTTAATTGCAGCGGCCATTTCGTAACGAATCGATGGAAGGAAAAGTGCCAAGCGAAAGTACTTTGAGAAAATCCAAAGGCCGGAACAGACTGCTAAATCCCTTGTTTTTTTAAATCCTTTATATTAAGTTCACTTGCTTGCGTGCTTGCTTGCTTACGACCGTGCAAATCTTTCGGTCGTTTTTTAACCCACTTCCCGTGATCCAATCGAGCTGACATTTTACACACAGACACGTTGTGGGTGACAATTAATTTTCATGAAATGATACACTGTTTAGGAATTTTTTAAAAATATTTAATTACCAATTGCTTAATGGTGGCAGACAATCATCTGACCCATAGGTGGCAGCCATCTCAAGCCAGGGGACGAGAGGACTCTAGCCGCCACGCATATAAAGGATTTAGAGTGAAAAACTTTGTTTTTACGGGTTCATTTTTTTGCCTCTTGCTCGCACTCGCACGATTTCTACCTGGACATGGAGCAAAAGCTTATTGTTTAAATGTCCACGTAGCCCTAAATGCAGCAATGCGGGAAAGATTTCAAAGTGATCTAACACACGTCTTCATTGATATCCTGCAAGAGTTTGTGTTATCATAAACTCGAGACCACGAGTGCCACCAAAACAATAATCGGCGCCAGTGACAACACACCTACCAGCAACCACCACCAACAACCACAGCACCGTCACCACAACCAGAAGCACCACCCACATTACCGCCACCACCACTACCAACACCACCACCACTACCAACACCACCACCACTACTACCAACACCAATAGCACCACTACCAACACCACCACCACCACTACTACCAACACCAACAGCATCACGACCAACACCACTAGCAGCATCACCATCAGCACAATCACCAACTCCAATAAAAACAAAGACAAAGATCCCCCGTGTAGCCTTAACAGACTGTTGGGGCAAGTGTTTCTAGCAAGCACCTATGAAGGCCGGCATGGCACACGAGGGGGTGGGTGGCCAACAACACGCCCGGCCGCCTTTGTCTCCCATGTGGCGATGTTTACACATCACACCAGGTACTTATTTTAGGCTGAGTCGACCTAGGTGAAGCTCAGGACTGGTTCAAATAATCGTCACTGGGTTCGTAGTGCAGTGTGCGCTAACCGCTACACTGCCAGCACCAATACCGCCGGCGTCACCAACATCCCCACAGGCACAAACAGCACCATCGACCTCGACGCGTCGCGCCCTCACCGATAGACACGAGCTTGATGTTCTCCCTCTCGAGGAACTCCAGCGCCACGGACACGTTCTCCAGCTGCATCTGGCGGAAGGTGGGCCGCGCGTGGTGCTTGCGGCACATCCGCTTCTGGCTCAGCACCTCGAGCAGCGCCACAAGGCGCAGGCCGTCCGAGAAGTCGCGCTGCAGGTCGTCGATCTGCCGCCCGACGGCGCGCAGGTGCTCGTTGCACCAGCGCGTGAAGGTGTTCTTCTGGATTCGCTTCCACGCCGCGTCCTCGGCCAGCTCCTTCTCGGCCGCCGCCACGAGCGGCTCGGAGCCGTCGTCGCGCCCGTTCATGTCCGCCCGCTTCTCCATCCCTCCGTCCGTCCGTCCGTCCGCCCGCTCGGCTTGCAAAGAGGACGATCCTGTCGCACGGGGCGGGGGGGGAAATAAAGACGACGTTCTTATTAGGCGCGCGTAACGACGCGTCGATTCGTCCGTCGAACTAGATTCTTGCGCTCACATCACGATCCAAATTGTGCAAATGGGGTCAATTGCTCGATCAATTCATTAACTGGATAGCCACAGAGCAACATCGCTCCCTACTGGCAGGCCGACGTCCGCTTGCCGACTGGCGGCGCAGGCACTTTGCGACTCGCAGGGGCAGCCGCCACGCGGGGAGTCCCCTGCCGCAGGGCGCCTCGAGCCGTCCTGCGCGGGTGGCGTGCTATGAATATTAAGTGTTGGTGATTACTGTGATTACGATAATGATACGTGCGTGGGGCTGTATAAGAATTGCAAATGATTGTTTGCGTATTAATGCTAATGGTAGATAGAGGTGAATGGAATGAACACGACTGTGCAAATGACATGGAAACAAACGCACGATACCAATTCGAACGGGACAGTAATATCCGGGACGGAACAAAGTTCAAAGAAAATAGTTTTTTGTCATATTCTTTGAACCTATCTACGTGACTTTACCGAAAGACCCAAGAATATAGCCTCTCTCCTGAATGCTTGTCGAACCAGAGATCCCTGGAATAATAAGTAAAATTCATAAAGCACCCTTAAACAATCGTTTTCAGTACTGATATTGATGCCTATTTGTATGTACTCATATTGATGCTTTTTTTAAACAAGCCATGAAGAACAAACTGTCAGAATGCACCACTTTGCCCATGGTTATGTGCTAATCTGGATTCGAAGCTTTCGTGATTGCAGGAATCCATACTCTTTGGTTCTTTCGGTAAAGTCACGTAGGTAGAAATAAAATAATATTAAATAAAATGCACGTGCTAAATCGGAAGTTTGGATCTACATAATGTGTGCGAACTTGTAGCTCCTTTACTAAACACTAATGTAAGGCATTTTGTCTAACTCATAGATCTTACACGGTCAGTATTGCTCCGTGCCTGGGAGCGGTATCGCTTCTCCAGCACGCGCTGTGACTTGCCTTGGCTGCCACTCTCAAGGAGGCAAGTTATAGAATTGGATAAAGTTACAATAACACTCAGCCCTTGCATCTCCACTGAAAGCCACCGTTTCATGAGTCGAGTTGGGGCCATAAGCAGAGTCCTTGCAGGTGGCTGGAATGTGACATCAGATCCCTTGGCTGCGTTTCACAACAGATGCATGCGGTTTAAATGCCTCTCGCTTGGCACACGAATCACCATTGAATAATAATAATAATAGTAATAATAAAATAATGAACGATATAGTGTCCCCGCGTTTCAATCAACGTTCGGTGACGTTCATCCTCACTGGCCGTTCTGATCCAGCGGTGGAAATTCCACTTTCGCATGGTTGAGACCAAGTCTCTCCTTTTGACATTCACCGTTGTTGACCTCCAACCATGTGCTGCAGTCACCTCGATATGCTGAGCAATCGACGACGTCACAGCGTCGGTTGTCCGGGGTTATCGCTGATGTTACAGCTCTGCCATGTTTGTGTTGGGTTTGCACCTCGTATTCTTGGGTTTTTTCGGTAAAGTCACGTAGGTAAAACATTAAAATTAATAAAAGTAAGGTAGACCAGATTGAGTCACAAACCGTACCTCTCCATAACAAAGGCTCACCCTCTTAAGCCTCACCTTGCCATATGAATAAAAAGTGTGCTGCACTTGCCCCTTCCCCCCTCTCCAACCATTATATAAACGGAGTGGTAGCTCCTGCAATCTCTCATTTACTTGATACAGCTGTCGTGGCTGTGACGGTTCCACCTGGAGACGGAGGCTTGTGTTGCCTCCGAAACGTCGTGATTTTTATTTTATTTTACTTTTATTATTTTTAATGTTTTACCTACGTGACTTTTTCCTTGCAGTCACGAAAGCTTCAAATCTAGAATTTGCACCTCGTGTTGTTGTTGTTGTTGTGCAGCACAACATCCCAACAACTCCCCAGCCCCCACTCCCGGTGTAATCCGAAAGCAACGTCCGATAGCCAGGGCGATGGGTGGCGATGTGCCGAGGAGTGAACAGGACGATGAACGCGAGTCGGTGGGGTTATTGTTGACCCAGACTGGCGTTTGGAAGCGTGGACTCGTCATTGCGCAACTCACCGCTTCATCAGCTCAGAAACATCACAGCCGGCAGTAATGATTACAGGGAAGCGCCGGGGATCAACATGGGAGGCACACAAGAAGTAGACCGTGGCTTTGTGCGAATTCTATTAAAATGGCATCACGCGTACAGTAATAGTACGTAATTTCATAAAATGACTCAATTTTGCCGCACTTTGTAAAGTGGGTCACATGTAATTGCCGCTCTAAGTAGCTTCGAATGTGGGCCTAATTGCTCTGTTTTGCCGCACTCCCTGTGAAAATGTCCAAAAGCGCTGCTTAGACATCATCAACCTTTTAGCTTCGAGGCTTATAGGCCACCTGGGGCCAATGTCGCAAACGTAATGAACTTAGGACAGCTCCTTATATTTAGCGAAATTGCCCCCAGGGTATTTGCAAGAAGAAGTAAAAAAAACACACCTACTTTAGTTGGTAAATTTCTATCACAACAGAACCCTTTCCGTGACACTTTTTAGTTTGTATTTAACCTCTATTTTCTTATTTCCTTTGGTTTGCGGATTACCGCCGGCTATCCGAAGTGGGTTTCCGAATCAAAGCTGGATAGTTAAACGAGACAAACCAACGAGCGTTTGGCTCGCATGTGAGCGAGTGGCCTGATGAGATAAAGGGAGCCGGCTTTCTTGACCTCGGATAACTCATTAACTGCGAACGCAGCACGTGCGCCACCGCTTAGAATTGCTTTTGAATCGGTATTGTTTCAAGGGTTTCCTCGCAAGAATATCTTGGTGTCTGTTTCAAATGCAGCACGGTATTCCCTCGTTTTGTTCACGAACTTGCTATCCGCGATTGTGGCTAGCCGCGAAATCTCCGCGACTGCATCGAGAGAGAGAAATAAAGTGATTAAGTAAAGTGGCGAGAGAGAATGTGATACGAGATAGTGATGAGAGATAAAGTGATGAGAGAGAAAGTGATGAGAGATAAAGTGGTGAGAGATAAAGTGATGAGAGATAAAGTGATGAGTGATAAAGTGATGAGAGATAAAGTGATAAGAGATAAAGTGATGAGAGAGAAAGTGATGAGAGATAAAGTGGTGAGAGATAAAGTGGTGAGAGATAGAGTGGTGAGAGATAAAGTGGTGAGAGATAAAGTGATGAGAGATAAAGTGATGAGAGATAAAGTGATGAGAGATAAAGTGGTGAGAGATAAAGTGATGAGAGATAAAGTGATGAGAGATAAAGTGGTGAGAGATAAAGTGGTCAGAGATAAAGTGATGAGAGATAAAGTGGTGAGAGATAAAGTGATGCGAGATAAAGTGATGAGAGATAAAGTGGTGAGAGATAAAGTGGTGAGAGATAAAGTGGTGAGAGATAAAGTGATGAGAGATAAAGTGATGAGAGATAAAGTGATGAGAGATAAAGCTATGAGAGATAAAGTGATGAGAGATAAAGTGGTGAGAGATAAAGTGATGAGAGATAAAGTGGTGAGAGATAAAGTGATGAGAGATAGAGTGAGGAGAGATAAAGTGATGAGAGATAAAGTGACGAGAGATAAAGTGGTGAAAGATAAAGCCATGAGAGATAAAGTGGTGAGAGATAAAGTGATGAGAGATAAAATAACGAGAGATAAAGTGGTGAGAGATAAAGCCATGAGAGATAAAGTGAATAGAGATAAAGTGATGAGAGATAAAGTGATGAGAGATAAAGTGATGAGAGATAAAGTGGTGAGAGATAAAGTGATGAGAGATAAAGTGACGAGAGATAAAGTGATGAGAGATAAAGTTGCGAGAGATAAAGTGGTGAGAGATAGAGTGATGAGAGATAAAGTGATGAGAGATAAAGTGATGAGAGATAAAGTGGTGAGAGATAAAGTGATGAGAGATAAAGTGATGAGAGAAAAAGTGACGAGAGATAAAGTTGCGAGAGATAAAGTGATGAGAGATAAAGTGGTGAGAGATAAAGTGATGAGAGAAAAAGTGATGAGAGATAAAGTGGCGAGAGATAAAGTGATGAGAGATAAAGTGGTGAGAGATAAAGTGACGAGAGATAAAGTGATGAGAGATAAAGTGATGAGAGATAAAGCTATGAGAGATAAAGTGATGAGAGATAAAGTGGTGAGAGATAAAGTGATGAGAGATAAAGTGGTGAGAGATAAAGTGATGAGAGATAGAGTGAGGAAAGATAAAGTGATGAGAGATAAAGTGACGAGAGATAAAGTGGTGAGAGATAAAGCCATGAGAGATAAAGTGGTGAGAGATAAAGTGATGAGAGATAAAGTGATGAGAGATAAAGTGATGAGAGATAAAGTGATGAGAGATAAAGTGATGAGAGATAAAGTGGTGAGAGATAACGTGATGAGAGATAAAGTGATGAGAGATAAAGTGATGACAGATAAAGTGATGAGAGATAAAGTGATGAGAGATAAAGTGGTGAGAGATAACGTGATGAGAGATAAAGTGATGAGAGATAAAGTGATGAGAGATAAAGTGATGAGAGATAAAGCTGATGAGAGATAAAGTGATGAGAGATAAAGTGATGAGAGATAAAGTGACGAGAGATAAAGTGGTGAGTGATAAAGTGGTGAGAGATAAAGTGACGAGAGATAAAGTGATGAGAGATAAAGTGATAATGACAGTGATAGAGAGCACTATTGGAAGCTATATAAGCATCAGCAAACGTTGCTTCCATGTGCGTGCAATACATACTGCATCCTTCTACTACTGCCCAGCAGCATTATTTAAGGTAAGTTAATTTCTAAACTATTATTTAACGCCTAACTACTTATTTGTATTTAATTTATGTTTGTTATCACCAATTTTGTTGTTGTTGTTGTTGTGTTCTTATTATAATGTTCATGTATTTAATAGTTTATTCATGGATGGTTCAAAACGACAATATCGTTATCCGCG